CAAACTGGAAACAACCAATTTTTGTCGATTTTGATGTAAATATGACTAAAACTATTTTATTTGATATTATTGATAAACTGGATGATATAGGTTATAAAGTTATGTGTTGTGTTTCCAATTATAATAGTAAAAATATTAAACTGTGGAATCAGTTAAATTTAAGTTACGAAGATCCTTCTTTTTTTATTCCTAATGGACGAAAAATAATATACATTCCAGATTCGTCTAATTTACTGAAGCTTACACGTAACTGGTTATTAGACACTGGTTTTTGTTTAAATGACGTAGAAATAAATAAAATACCATTAGAGGCACTAATAACTAAGAAATCAGTAGGACTACCTCATAATTTAAAAAAAGAACATTTGACGTGTGAAGGGCCTCAACGGGAAAATATTGAACTAGCTAAACAACTTCTATCATATTCTACAGCTATAGTCCTACAACACAATAGACCTATCGATGATCTTGAATTATTAAATGATACAGCTGAATTTATCAAACTAATTAGTAATTGGTTTGATTTAGCTAATGTTTCTCAAACAAACAATAGAACTACTTTCAAATCCCCATTTGGGATGTTTTTATATCAACAAAACAAGCTTTTAAATGAATTTTATACTACTATAAATTTGATGAGATGTAAAGGAAAAAATTATACATACCTACAAGGTTTTCAAGAAGGTATTCTTATGTACATCAATGGAATTAAACAGCTTTTTCAAATTTTAAGAGAAAATGGCGTAAAATATTTATTGACAGGCAAAATTAATAATGATCCTCTAAATAATCTATTTCATCAGATATGTTCCATAGATGACTTACCATCACCGTTGAATGCAGTGAACATATTAAAAAAGATAACTTTAGGAATATATTCTAATGATCATAATAAATCAAATACAGTAGATCACGAAGAATTTATGATTGTTCAGATATTAAAATCGGTCAACATAAATTTAAGCGATGAAGACAACGAAAAAGAAATCAGTGAACGAAATGACTCGGATACAATAAGTGAAAATGAGTTTACAATCACAAATAAAGATGAAATGGAACTCGATGCAATTGAATTTTTAGCAGGATGGGTGGCTTTAAAATATAAGTCCAAAATTCCTGAAATCGGGTGTATGACAGTGTTTAATGAATCAAACAAAGATATGATACCTTCATGGATGAACCACTTATCATATAATGGATTAATGATTCCAAGTAATGATTTTAAAAAAATTATTTCTCGTGTTGAATGGTTATTCAATAAATTTACAAAACACCAAATTCCTAAAGGTTCAAATGTAGTTGCTAAATTAACAAGCAAAATTTTCTCAAGGATGTCAGTTGAAAAAAAATTTAAAGGTGCAATTCAAATCTATATTAAACAAAGAATTATTATACGAATGAAATATTCTAATTACCGCATTCAATTAAAAAAACAAAAAAAGAAAATCCAAAAACTAGACTAATTAAAAAAAGTAATGAACATACAAAATTAATTGTATCATTCTTATTCTATTTTAAAAAATATTATATATATATTTAAAATTTTTTTTTTTTTTGATAGTTACTATTTTTATTGTTTCTAATTACTTTATTATTGATAAGTTTCTCTAAGAGAATGTAGTACTCATATGTGTTATCTCCATTTTACTTATATACTTATATACATCATAACATATTTATGTTCAGCAAAATCCATTTTTTGCTATTAGCTTTAATATTAGAGTTAATTTATCTTAAACTATTAAACTTAAAAGTAATAATATCACTTAGTGTATCGCATAGGTTTTTATTGACATTGTTAATCTTTTAAAATAATTTACTACATATTAATGTATATTTCATCAATTATTAAGCTAATATTCCATACTATAGTTTAATGACTTATTCATAAACGTACTTATTAAAATTAAATACAAATTAAATTAAATATATACCTGTAGGTACCTAGATTGATCTCCTATTTTATTAAATAATAGATTTTATGCATGATGTTTAATGTTTTTCGATATTTTCTATTTTCTATTATTCTTAGTAGTTATTTGTATCAATTTTAAATGTTTAATACATAATTCTTTACAACTTTTTTCTCCTTTCATCCATTAAGTTACACAGTTATTGTAAATACTAAATATATTTATGGTTTTGATTTTTTGTAATTTGTAGAATTAAGACCATTATAATGTAAAAAAAAAAACTAAATAAATGCCATTCAGTAAAATATTTGCCTTTCAAACTTCAGATATTCACTTTTTAGTAATTAACGAATTGCAAAATGAGCAACTTATAATGGTTTTGCAATCATTTGAATGTGGTTTACTTTAAGATGTTAACTATTTGTACTGTCATATTATTCCATAAAAAAATATATTACTTTTTTTTTTAAAAAAAAAAAAAAGAGCACAAAAATATGAATAATGATGTCCTCTATCATAATTATTTGATTACATGATTTAAAAAAAAAATATTTTAAGATTTTATGTTAATCCAACAAATTATTCCAATGTAGAAAAGCATAAATTTAAAATGAAATATGACACGTGTACCAGATTGTTTATCAAAACTACTTTTATGGAAAGAGAAAATGTTTCGACTATTTCAATAATAATTGACCTGTCTAATAATATTTTGTGGTTAGATTTAAATGTTAATATGCGGTAGATTAAATAAAAAATATGATTACCTTTTTAGTTTGTGTATAAACAAAAAAAGTTTCTGACTAACTTTTTTATTTTTTGAACAGTAGGTCAATAAAAATTATTTGCACATGTTGTATAACTTTCTAAATAAAAATCCACAAAAAAAAAAAAAGATTACTATTAATTACTACTATTTAAATGTGCATTTTAATAAATTATGAATCTATTTAATTAAAATAAGAAAGAACAGGTAAAATTGTATGTGCCATCTTAGGAGGAGAAACTAAGTTATACGCTAGGTAAGATATAAATCTAGAAAGAAGAAGAGGTAAAGAAAAGCTAAAATAAGGAGTTGGTGAAAAATTATATGAGGACAATATTTGTGTCAATTTAAGTGATGCTACATATCTAAGTATCCTCAAAAAAGGTAAATGTAATAAAAATAATGTTGTAGATCGTGCACTGGATTATTACCTTTAAATTAGGTTGTTCAGTGTAAATATTAAAATATACATAAAAGAACAGATAGCTTATGTTATAACTTGAATTTTATCAGAAGAAAATTATTATAAACAGTATTATGGAATTTAAAAAAATATATGTCATCTATGAGCAACATTTAAACAATACCAAATCTGTATTATAATTTTTAAACATTTTACGACATACATTTCTCATTATGAATAGATTAATTAAACTTTACATTTAACAATACCTACCATACTAATACTAAGTGAATTTGTTCAATTATGCGAGGCTTCAGAATAGCGCTTACATAGCAAAAAAGTGGAATACTATAAAATGTGAACGGCTAATGATGTAACTGTCAATATTTATTAGTATAACATTAAAATTACTTTAATGTAATCTATATATATATTTTGTATATCCTAATCCATTACACATAAAATTTTTCCATAATTACATTTATTATTTAATTTCCAAAAAGACGAGAAATAATAATATTAATGTAATTTTATGATATAAAAAATGTAGAATTTTCGTAGGTATTATATACAATTAAAATATATACAGATTAAATGTGAATAATAATACCATGTTACCTTAAAAATAAAATGCAGTATAAAATTTCTGAATTAATCGACATATAATACATATACAAAAAATGACATGAGTACTGAACTGAAATTTAATTACCTACTTGAAATCATTTAACAAGTATTAATGTTATACTCTGAAATGAGATATACCATTTATAGATTTAAATTTGTATTTTTACGGTATTGTACATAACGATGTAAAAATAAAAATATACAAAATACAGCATGAAAGGTATTCTGTAGAAATCTTTCAAAATATTGAGAATGATCGTAAATATTATTAATCTAAGAACCATACTATATTTTTTAAGTATTAACACTTTCTATTAATAATACCTTGTTTAAGACATAAAATATTTTTTTGTTAACATACAAAAGACATAATTAATTAGAAAAGAAGTATTCTTTAATTTAAATAGTTTATACAAGTACATTTTTTTTAGGTTGATAACAATAATTCAAATTACACACTTGGTTGAAAAAAATTTTTTTAATTATTACTATGAACAATACCTAATATATTGAATAATAATAATGACTAATTTATAATTTATAAACATTAAAATATTTTTGAAACTATAATTTACATAAAATACACTACATATAAATAAAAATCAAAGATTATCTTATTTTTACCAGTCTTTGGGTAAGGTTATAATGTTTAAATTATTTTGCTTTAGTTTTTCATGAATAATTTAATTAAAATATTATAGCTGGTTGTGAAAAATTAATTGTCAAAAGTTAAAAATTTTAAAATACTTAAAATATTTATCTACAATAAATATATATGTTTAATGGAAAACCCGTCGTACACCTGTTTAATAGGGCTGAGAAATTATTTTAGATGCCTGAACTTAAAAATATATGATGTTCAAACAAAAATATGAAGATATAATCATATTTATTTAATTTTTAATAGAATGATACAATTATATTTTTTTAAGTCGATAACAACTTATTAAAAACACGTAAGTAAAATTTGATTATAAATATTATCAAAATAGAGGGCAAAATTTTCAATAAAATTAATTCTTTGCCTAAAACAAACAATACGAAGATATTCTTCTCCCCAACATTTAATACTCATCACAGGGAAGAACATTAACAAACCATTTTGTACTATTTTATTCATTAAAATGAAATTACACTCGTGGAAATATTATAAAATTAAATAATTTCAATAAAAAGAAATATTATTTTTTAATCAATTACCTTAATTTTTCAAATTTAATTTAAATAACTTTAAATTATTTTTTGGATTTTAATTTTTTACCACACAAATTAAATTAAAATTTGAGTCTTGGTTATAAGAAATTAATTAAAATACAATTTTACAAACATTTCCTAACAAAACACATAAACACATACATTACTTTTCTATCTAAAATAAATTCTGATCAGTTTATTGAAACATTAATGGAATTTTGCAATTAAAATTTAATATCTAAATATTTTTAGAAACAGTATATATATTCATACCAATTAAAAGATTTACTTAAAAGACTGGACAATCACCTGGTTATTATATATCTACTATGACACTATTTTATTTTGTAAACATGTGATAGTTGAATATAAATGGCATACTGATTATTTTATTTATAATCTTTTATTCTTTTTAGTTTTTTTTTTAGTTTTAACAGGTGACCCTGATTTATAGCAATAAAATTGAGTAACAATTATAAAGTTGGCAAAAGACGCCAAAGCAAAACTCCAAATTAAAAGGTTATCTCCAGTTTCTTGTACAGACGTGAATACTCGTACAGATGATCCCAAAAATAAAAGAATAGACGTAGCCATTGACAATTGCCCTGTGCTTTTATTTTGATAATTTACATAACCTTGAGTCATCTATGGACAAAAATAAACATTAAAATATTAAAATATTAATTATTTTTGAGTATGTTCTATAATTACCTTGCCATAAAACATTAAAGGTATGCTGACAAACTGTGCATTCCAAAGGAAAGAATTTGGAACAATATCTGATACGAGTAGAAACAATAACGAACAATAAATAAATGCAAAAGCACTAGCCGCTCTCTTGGATATGTTATAATAAAAAACTAATATTACAATTAGTAATGTTTGGAATAGTATAAATAATGAATCACCCCATGAGCTGTAAAATAAAATAAAATTATTAATACACAATACATAAATAAACATATTAAACATATTAAACAAATTTGAATTAATTTATCACCTGAATGGAAATTGACTAGAATAGCTATATACAACATTTGCTGTGACAGCAAATAGATCCATGCAAACATTTACCAGACTAATTCCAACAGCACTTTTACTTTGCCATACTTTGATAACTTGCGGAAGTTTGACTGGAAAAAAAATGATATTTATTAATAATTTATTGCAAAATTGTAATAGCAGTGTTTCGCTTATTATAATTTATAACACATTATTAAATAATAAGACATAATTAAGAATGTGTGGATAACAATTATTACCTAAAAGAGATCCACCAACTATTCCAAATCCAAGACCTTTACTGAGAGCAGATCTTATACAAGTACCTGGAAAAAAAGTTTAAGATATTAATACATATTGTAGAAAAAATGACAGCATTTTAAAATTATACTGTTAATTAGTTAAATTTTCAAAACTCTTCCAAGTTCACACAAACATTAAATACAAAATTATTATTATTGTAACATTGTTGATTACATTTTAATAGTATGTACTAGTACTACAGTCAGCAGTAAGTATCAATTATCATAACAAATCAATGATCATTGATCGTCAATAAAATAACTCAAATATAGTAAATAAAACTCATAATTTAAATAATATTATAAATAAAATTTTAAAAGATAATATTTATTATGATTGACCTTAGATATTTTTTATAAAACAATTAATGGAACATTTTAAACATTAACCATGGATGAAACTAATAAAAAAAAATAATAATAATGTTTTTGAATGTTGATTTTTAAACAATAATTTTCAATTTATTTAATTTTTCTGACATTAAATAAGTCTGTCATTCTAATATTAGTAATTTATATTTTATATTAACAGTATTTTTATTTTATTTTTAATAAATAATAAACAAAAATAATATTTTTATGAAGGTGATAAAAGTATTAAACTTATATCAAACCTTATACTTTCTGAATCAAAATATAAAAATAGTTAAAAAAGCAACAAGGTGTTGATCATTTTTTTTTTATTAAGTTATAAATTATAAGTTTTAACTATCTACCAAATAGTAGGTATGTAAATAATAATAATCTAGGTACATATAAATTTATTATTAAATTGTATGCATTCTAGTTATTTTAGCTTAGTTCATTTCTACTTTTGATAGGAAGTTATATTTATTACAAAATTATCAAACTTCTCAATAAACAATAAACCCATAACTAAATAAATAGGCTAGATACCATCGCACGAAAAATGAAAAGTTCTCTAAATTTAGATTAATACTAAAATATTAAACATTATAATTATTTTAATACAAAATCATATAGTTGACATTTTTTTTTACGTCTATGGAACATGTCTTGTTAAGAATAATTAAATTATAACTGATATACCTATTTATTTTTAATGCCTGTCTTAAATAAACCAAGGTAGTTATATAGCACATAGTGAAATATATTTCATACAAACTATAGCTGACATTGATCATATTTATTAAATATTATAATATAAGTAGGTACTTAAAAAAAATATTTTTAATTTTTAATTTAAAATTTTTTAATAGAAATGAAAAATAATAACTAAGCATGATAGAATATAACTAATATTGTCTATAATATTATATACCTATATGGTTAAATAGTTGGAATTTCAGTGGTTACTTAAAAGTGTGATTACAATGATTGTAATTATTATTATTTTTATTACTATATTCTTATAAATTATGTGCACTACGAAATATAATGCTTATCACGAGATAGACTGAATAATACATTTAAGAAATTGTAATCTGTAAAATATAAGACAAAAAAAACTGTAATACAACCATTAGGTATACAATCGTTTTAAGTGTTGGTGATTAGTAAACGAATGGGTATCAAGTTATACTCAACAAAGCAGATGAAAAATGTAAAAACGTGAACTGTACAACGACATTGATGACTATGCAAACGTATAAAAGCCTGAACAATCACTCAGTACAAAACCGAAGACGCTCACCGTGTTGTCTCTAAGACACATTGTCCAGCAGCGACACGGGCCCAAAATTTTGCATTTGGTTAGTGCTTTCGTTTGGAATGTGTTCGCAAACGTCTAAAGAAATGACGTACGAGACGATCACTGTATCTCGTCGTGTGGACAACAATGACACTGTAACACACTTACCGTTGAAGAAATCCAAATCGTAGAAGAACACTTGGTAGCATTTCGGCGTGAGGACGAGCAAAGCGACCCGTTGAAACAGCTCGGTGAACGAGATCATGTCGACGCTCGTCGGCTGTGCAGCACTAACCTAGCGGCGAGACAGTAATGGACGGACGGCGGTATCGAGTGAGCAACAGCAAATGGTCGTAGGTCGTCGACGGTGGTGGACTCTTCGGCTGTTCGACGGCGGAAATCCCGGTGTACATGAGCCGGCGACGGACGCGGGTGCAACCAACGACGCTACTACTCGTCTTTGAACGATACGGTGAGGGGGGGATCGCTAAAAACGGAAAAACGGCAGACGCGCAAGGACGAGAGTAATTAACAAGTATAGCGCGCGACGCCTAATAATTAATAAAGCAATAAATATTGCAAGGCTAGTTTGGAATGTTTGGATGACGCGAGTACGCGACCGGCAACATCAGCACCACTGCCTCCCGTAGCGCGTTATCAGTGTTATCACAGTCAGCCACATCACGCTCCGCCTCGTCGACGGCGATACAAATCGAGCGGCGACGGGTGGAAACCCCTTGCTCGCCGATTCGCCAAAACAAGCCACCGACCGTAGTAGGAGACGTGGATAACCGACTGGACGGTTGACGACCCACGGCGGTACAGTTTTATTGACGAGCACGCTTCTACGCCGACACGCCATACCTGCGAATGCTACGGTAAGGCAGGCCGGCCGGTCGGGCGCGTTAACGAAGCCTAAAAATACAAAAACACAAGCGCCGCACGGAAATAATGTCGTTTACCGGCGGTGTACGCAGATTGTTGATATCGGTAAGGCCCTCTCAACGGTGCCTTATCGTCTTAATAACTAAATATGTCGATTGCGTATGATTACACTGATGGCAACGTTGATTTCATATTATTGTAATCTTTATTGTAAAAATTAATTAGATAATCATTAATACATATTAAATAGCTGTAAATAGTAAAAATACTAAATACTTGAAATTTTCATAACATCTTTATTGTACGATTTTCAAAATATTTTATCTCTATTTGAGCTATAAGAGAAATGAACAATTTGTCGTTAATGACAATACAAAATTCTTAGATATGTCATTGTTCTTAAATCTGTAAACAAATATTAAAAATACAAATGCTCAATTTTTTTTTTTTTACATGCGTTTTAAGTTTAAATTTTTCCAAATTTGTCAAAATCACATAAACATTTACTTAAAATATCTTGTAGTAAAAAGTTTTAAAAATCTTCAATTTAATAGGTAATACGCCTGAGATTTGAATACAATACTTCTTATAAATTGTTTATACTGGAACTAAAAAATCTAAATATATATACATAAACCTTATTAATTTTTATAGAAATCTAAATTTTTGCATTATGTAAACATGTAATATAATTACTAAAGACCGGATTTATATGCATTTTAAATTGTAAAATATGCATGCAAACATGCACTAAAAAAAGTCAAAATATGCAAGGAAAAAATGCAAAACATGCAAAATAAAATTTCAATTTTATATTTGATTTTAATTTTGCAGTGATAATTATTTATTAATTTTATTACATTTTTCATAAACAAAAAGTTACATGTATAATATAGTACAACAATTTAATTTTTTGTTAAATTGTAATTTAATTTTTAAACATTGATATATTGTAAAAAATATTTTATTAAAATTAAATAGTAGATACATTGGTGATATACTGATATAAATAGGAAAAAAGTACGAACAATTTTATTGAAGGTAGTAAATTATTAATTTGAAAAACAATAAGTTATCAAAGTATGTTCCATGTTTATTTCCGTGAAATTATGACGGCGATCTGTAAGAATGTACTTGTATGATGAAAAACTACGTTCGACATCAACACTGGTGATTGGAGCATATTTAAAATTTGCTATTATATCCAGCGAATAATTTGGAACAGATAAATCGTCGAAATTAGCACTGTCACCTTGAAGTATTTTTGAAATTTCTTTTAAAACCATTAATCCTTTATTTTTATTCAAAACGTTTTTACATTTTGTTTTAATTATTGTACTATTTGCACTAGTAGGAAGTTCATTAACAGAGTTTTCCACTTGTTCTAAAATTTTTAACGAGTCTACAAGGGACAAATTAGAGGTTTCAAGCTTTTTGATACTTTCAACGATACATAAAAAATTTGCTTTAATGTAAGCAAGATCATATTTTACATTAAATTTATTAAAAATTGATTTACAATTTTGAATGCATTTTGTATTATCTTCTAAGTTTTCAATCACATTTTTGAACTCTTCAAAATGATCTGCGTAAAAAAAGGCTGACTCTAGCCAAGTACCCCAACGGGTAATTATTGGCTGCGGTGGTAAATGTGTAATTGGCAACATTTCTTTATATAATTGAATTCTATACGGAGCCTTTGAGATATTCTTTGAGACGTAAAATATTTGATATTATAATATTATATAAACGTACCTATGATCTATGTTTTTATTTGTATATTTGTACGGTTTTTGTTAAAATATGCAAAAATATGCAGATCATGCATTAACGTCAGAATATGCAAAAATATGCAGTATAAAATTTTGATATTTAATCAATCAAGTAATGATTTGTGGACACTCATTGACTGCATGTATATGATGTTGAAAATAACAACATGCATTTTATGCAAAATCCGGTCTTTAATAATTACGATTGGTGGGTAGGTTATTATTAAAAATTATATTAAGCAGCGATGGATAAAAATGTATTAGAGGTACCTAATATAATAATATATTAATATCTATGATTTAAAACTCATACTTATTATGTAATGATATAATATTATTTTCCAAATACTTTTAAATTATTTTAATAATAATTTATTTTATTCAATACATAAAGAATGTTTTACTGTTGTTAATCAAATATTTTTACAGCCTTCATAATATATCATCAATAAAAAATATGATTTTCATAAATAAACATATCATAATAGGTATACTATCTTTTTTCAATAATAATAATAAATATTGTTAAAGAAGTAATATTAGAATACCTTTAAAGTAAGTATAATAACTAACAAATAATTTGTTCCTTAAAATTTTTTTTAATATTGAAGTTTGTAAGTTCCTTTCTTACAAAAATATCTTTTTTGATTTATAAGCACATATGGTATTACTAAATACAATTATTATATTAAATCATACAATTATTATTATAAATATTAATTATCTGATAAGATTTTCTTTGGCATGGCTTATTATTATTATTATATTTTCCTCGAAATTCAGCTTCAGCAATGAAAATTTTTGATGTTTATTCTACATCAATTTTATTATATTTAAAGTATCTCTTCATTTTTTTTATATAATCTAAATATAATAGAACATTGTTAAAAATATAAAAATATTTTCTTCTTCTTATGAATCTTATGTTCTTTGTAACTGTAATCTTGTAATAATCATTAAAAAAAATAACGCATCATTGATTGAATGGAACTTCGAAGTGTATAACAGACATATCGACTTAGTTCGTTGACCTAAAAATAATATTTATTTGTCTCAGACCTCAGTTCAGTAAGTTATAAGGAGAATAACCATTGAAAACATTTTTAGTTTTTTGATTTAGTATTACTGATGGTTGAAACTTTAAACAAAGAAGACAATATGTTTATGATGATAGTAGTTTGGTTATCAGGTGTTTAATCAATTTCATCTTAAATTAAAAATCACAATTTAACTATTATTATTTTTTAATATGCAGTTATGAAATTGAACATTTCATAGATACATGTTTCTTTTAATTACAAAATAAATTTTGTATTTTCATTAATTACATTTTTAATCCTAAGCATGCCTGGATAATTTGCCACAGAATCTATGTATCTATGATGTACCTATACATATAAGTACATATTATAATCAGACAATTAAAATGTACCTATATTATTAATTTATAAAATTAACTACCTAAGTTAAGTTTAAGTTTTGTATAAGTTATGAATTATCTAATAATAAATAAATTATATTAATAGTATCTATCTATTAAAAGTAAGGAGTACTTTTGTTTATCTACTCATTGTATGCAGGAATTCAGGCATAAGTTTATGTATGATTGTAATTTGTATGAATAGTGATGATACAGTTTTTATTTATTTCCTAAAAGTTTTACTTTATAGACTTCACAACTTTAATAAATAATTGATTTATATTATAAATAGGATAGAAACTACAATCAATGAACATTTAATATTAGCCCACCATTGGTTTGTTAAATGTTTAGTGATTGTTTATGCAACAATAAGAATCCCACAGATAATAATATATCAAATCATAAGATAATGATTTAAATTTAATATTTTTGTGTTGTTCTTAAAAAATAAACTTATTATTTTCATTATAAGTATCAACAGATATAATAATAAAATCATATATTCTTCAATTGAACTTTTTTTAACATTAAATGTAAATTCTGCACTAGAAATTGAGCAAATATAACAAATTGTATTAGTAGATGAACCTTCATCAAAATTCAACACGTAAAATAATTTTTTACCTGATACAGAAATATTTGTTAATTTTCTATCATATTAATAATAAATATTGATTTAAAACCTTTAAATTGTGTATATTATTATATATCAATGGAAGTTTTTGATGTATTTCATATGATTTTTTTATACTCCACCAAATTCTCATGACCTTCACAATTTTTTTCAGTTTTAAAATTAAGATTTTGATAATCTTTGGGGTAACGTTTTCCATTAAATTTAATCCAAAAATTTACCAAAATCATGGTTTTGAATGTCTAATTTACCAATGTGAAATACTATAACAGTAAACAACAGTATTAACATTTCAAAAACATTTGATGAATTAAATGTTACATTTTTTAATTTTGAAAGGTTGAAAAGGAAAAACATATTTTTGATTTTGAGATATCTAATGACGTTAACTTGTTTATAAACAGAACTTAATACAAATTATACTCTACAATAAGAATTTTAATCAATAACAATCATAAACAAGACTTACAGAATAATTATTAAAATACCGTTTTGAAGAAAAAACATAGTAAGGAAAAAAAAATATAAAAGTTTTGGACTTACAATCAATGCTTTATCAAATGGTTAATCAGCTATTAATGAAGTTAAAGAGGTTCAAATTAAAACCTATGATGATTTTCAAAAATGTATATAAAATTGTATAAAATGTAAGTACTTTTCTAAGAATGATAAATTTACACTACTAACATTAATAAATAATATAAATTTAATGTAACAATTAATAAATTCCAAATAAATATATGCATTTACTTAAATTAGTTCATCACTGGGAAAGTTTCAAGTAGGAATAGCATCAGTTTTTATCTTTCTAAAATTTTGTGGAGAATAGTTTAGCATCTCAGAATCAGCAATTTAAAATAATCTTCATTGAAAAAGTGTAATGAATCTACATTGCTATAAAAGTGTTATATTATATTATGTAAAAGAAGATTAGGTAGTATAGATAGGAGTACCTGAAATACAAGATTTCAACTTTCCTTTGAAGTATAAAATATATTTTTAAATTTAATGAACTAATTAATAGGTATCAAGTGATTTTGTATTTATCTTAGAATTTTTTTTTAAATAAAATTTTTTTAACTTAAATTACAATTTTAATATTCTATTTAATCATATGTATATTAAACAAATTTGAGTAGAATTTAATAGTTATCTTTGCTTCTTATCTGTATAATAAGAATAGGTAAATAATGTTATTTAATTATCTAGTCATCTTAATATGTCGAATAAGACCATGAGGCATAAAAAATACTTAATTTGATCTAGTTCTTACCAAATTAAAAACTTATTGCATTAGGTTTTTCATTAGCTGATACTGCTTCCGGTTCATAGGATCATTTAAAAACTTATATATTCTGGGTATTTCCTCCTCGCCGGTAATTAACTTATACCTTGATTTAATTCTTGTCGTGCATTCAGAAAAAGAACTATTTCAAGTGAAAAGTGCACAAAAAAAAAAAAACATAAATTCGATGAATTACTATTATTATTATGAAGAACAAATTGAAAACATCGAAAATATAATTGATAACAAGTCAAGGTAATGTTCCTGATAATATAGGTAAATAAGTGACGTTATCCAAATCAGAACCAAAAATAATTTCTTGTGATCATAAGAATAATATGTTGATTATAATATCATGACCTCTCCAATATTTACGCCACAAAAATCTCGTTGCAGAGATAATTGGCGAGGTGCTGCTTGCTATAACAATAGCGGCACGGCGTACCACGCCATCTCTTGAACGTTGTATACATTTTACATTTACTAATGAGCGTTCATAAGAGGCCTTACTACACTCATAATGTTTATAACTTGAGTTTAAAACCTTAATGCTAAACTGTTTTATTATTTTTATTAAAAAAAATATATATAATATTTTAGGAAATTAAAATAACGTTAATACTATTATATTGAAGAATAAATTTACTGAAGATTTTTTTTTTTTTCATTGTTTGAAGGGTATCATCAATGCTCAACATAGAAAAATGTATAAAATATAGAACACCTTTTAAGAATTATATTGACTATTTCATTTTAATAATCACAATAATATTAAAACAGCAATTTATACATTTTAAAAATGAAATCAAAATAATAAAGCAAACTAAAAAACTTCAATCATAACATCAAAAGAGTATTATTGAGCTTCAGAAATATAAAAATAATAGTATGAATAAAATGTTTACAGTAAGTATTTGATTTGAAATTTGTTCTATACACCTTAAGTATATTTACAGGCTCGAAACAAAAATGAGAAACACATTTACACAAGGCCTATCAAACAAAAGCTAAGAGTTTCAAATTTTATTACCCTAAAAAATTAAGAAAATTTAACAAAAAATGATAGTAAATTATTAAATTATTAACTATTAAGCAAGTTTTTGACGTGATTTTAGCCATATAGTCATAAACCTCACACTACTAGACTAGTCTTTTTTATTAAATAGCTTTGATAGTAACTATCAAATATAATGTAATTATGTACAGTATTATAACATCAGTGTTGATATGTCTAGTACAGAGATCACCAAATGGCAGCTTACGAACAATTTTATCCGGCCTACAGACAAAATATAAATAACGTATAGTACAACATTATATAAGTTATTATTGTAAATTATTAATTTTAACTTTTTTAATATTTGTGACATTAATTATGTTCTTAATGTTTATAAACAATAGCAACTAATAAATTAAAAAAAAATATATTTTCACTACATTAAATTTTAAAATAATACCTATTATTTATTAAAAATAAGTACTTGAAATTTTGATGACCTGTGAAAAATTTTCAAATTCTTAATGCGGCTTTTCAAAAATAATAATTGGTGACCCCTGGCCTAGTACAATGTATTTTGATATAATATTATATCATACAATATAAGGTTTATGCATAAAGCATAGGTACATGGGAAATACATTTTAAGTGTTTAGTCTATGTCTCTGTGGAAATTAAGAATAATATAATATTTTTTATTTTTTATCATTATTATTGGTTATGTTATGTCTTATACTCTTAAGTCTTATTTTTAGGTATCTTCGAGCCTGTATATATGTCAGGTTAATAAATAATATAAATTTATCACACATTTTTAAATACTGTCAGCTTTGTAAAAAAAGACATTGTATGGTTTTGAGGTTTAAAAAGATAATATGCTGTAAATATTATGTGATTTATAAAAGAAAATTAAAAATAGTTAACACCGCCAGTCTGCTGTTGGAAAACTTCGAGAGTATCACCTTCTTCCATGTCCAACGAGGCTGGAGTATCAGTCACATTAATTGCTTGTCCATCAAAACGAAATCTTACTGTATCAAAAACGAGACCCTAAAATATTCAATTTTGAATAAGTAAAAATATTTAAATTATAAATTTTAAGCCAGAATATAGGCTTATTTAATACTAGCAGCCACTTATAAAATTAAAAAGATCTATATTAACATTTAAAATCAATATTACATAATGTTTTTAAATACAATAATTCATATTAATATTTACATCGTGTACAAAAAATGTTTTATGTTTTAGTACACCATTTAAAAGAACATCTCACCCACATTAGTTATCTTTGTCTCACATGGCAAATTTATGTTTAGAAGTTTACATAAAATATAAGTTGGTTTAATATTAGTGAATAGACATAATATTAAGACTTAATTTCGATATTTTAATCATAAATTAAGTTATAAGTATGTAAAATATTACAATAAGTTTAAAATTAAAATAAAAAACTGTTTCAACCAAACATATTATGTTGTCCCTTTTATTAATATGTCAATTAAAATCATCAAAACTAAACATGAACTACTAAATATAAATTTTCCAAGCGCTTATAAGCTGTTACAATGTCACACATTTGTCAACTATTAATTGTACTTACAGAAAAATTCTTTTCTTAAAAACAAATGAGATAGACAGACAATTGAATTTAAACCAAGAAATAATTATTTTTAACAGAACAAGTAACTTAAATCATTTTGGGTTACATAAACAGTTTTTAATTAAATAGAAAATAAATAAGTTTTCAAATCAATATCAAATAATTTGATTTTAATTGTAAATAAAATAATATAATAATAATTATCAAAAAACAATTTGTAATGACTAATAGACAAATATTTCTTTTAAATTTTAAAAAGTATTCGCATAAATATATTTTATATTCAAATATATAATATATTACATAAAAAGCTAAAGAGGTATTTAAAATACTTTCCAAACATTTAAATAAATTTTTTTAAATAATTTACAAAATAATAGAAATAACATTTTTGTCTATCAAAGTGATATTTGTTAATATTAATTTATGATACCTACTTATCTTTCTAATAGAAGTACTAAAAATATAATTAGTATAAATATAATTAACTTATATTTACTACTAAATACATTAATTTTTTTCTAATTAAATATTAAACATATTTACATTGAACAAAATATTCTTATTACTTCCTACTTAAAAACTTACATAGTGTAACACAAAACACAATATAACAAATTAGATAAGTATCATCACAGTTGTACTAGTTTTACGCAGAATGTGCATCTCCTTTACCTCCGGCCTATGTCGTAGTTCTCCACTTCTGATTGGTTGATTAGTTTCCTATGTTATCATTAGATATTATTATCAAATTTCAATTTTTTGTCAACTTTTTATTTTTTTAGCAAAAAGCACTAGCTGAAGCGCATAATAATTGTATTTTATTTAGTGACAAAAGTAGCTAAGTAAATACACGGAATGAATTAGATAACAATTTACGAATTACGATGATAAAAAAATTGTTTATAGATCTATCACGGAATAATAATGTTTTTATTTTGATTATTCTGTAGATTAACAATGAATTGAGAACATTTTATTTTTACGTAGCAATAATGTCAGCCAATAAGAAGTGGAGAACTACGATATAAGCGAAGTGAAGAAATATTTGAGCGAGGGCTGCGCATCAAAAAACTGTGATCTATTTAATTTTTCAATTAATCAAACACAAATTAAGTTGATAACTGCCTACTTTTTTCACTACTCATTGGAAATTTAAACATGTAGCATATAGAATTGTTTCATGCATTTAACATGGCTAACAACATTTGCAATAGCCACAACCGAATGATTTTGTAATCAGACTACAATATGACTTTGTTTGCTGACAATCAGCAAGTAAATTTGCATAATGTAATCAATGTCTAAACAAATTCTTAGTGAAATACATTCCATACATAAATAGTTTCTAAATTAAAATTTTTTATCGTAATTATATCAAGAATTCAGTCAGTGTAATTAAAATTGTTATAATTATTAGAATAAAATACTTTTAATGATATTCATATACTTACAGTTTTTTCACAGTAAGCATTCATCAACTTTCTAAGTTGAGTATTTTTCTTGATCTTAAATTGAACCACTGCATTATCTTGACCAAGTACTTTTAAATTAATGTGATCCGGACTGACCTAAATACAAAAAACATTTTTAATTAATAATTGAAGTTTGATAACTAAAAAAATAAAATTTTATATCAAAATAGTTTATAATTAAATTTTTAATTTTGCTTAAAGATTTTAAAAATGTTAAGTGATATATACACATAATGTCAGGATGCTGTATTTCATAAAATATGAAACTGATTTGTAAGAATCAGATGATTGATGAACTAAAAAAATCTGCTTGTCGTCAAAAGGTAGTTGACTTATCGTGTTAAATATATTCAATATTAATAATAATCATTCTCAATTGTACACAGATAGATCAATGATGGCAGTGACGTCCCTAGACCCTTTTATAGTGGGGGACGAACTTCATATATCACCTTTATATATATATATGAAAATACACTAATTTATAATAAAATAAATAAGAAAATATAGGTCATGGAGGGGGCGACTGCCCCATTCGCCCCCCCTTGAGAACGGCCCTGAATGAGGGTTGTCAATTTTAGGTTCGAGGTAAATAGTTCTATAGATGACAATCACCACTTCTAGGACTACAAACATAATGATTTTCAACTGGATAAAATATACAATGGTACTAGCTAATTATAATTGTTTTATACATTATTAAATATGTATAAAATAAACAAGTGTGCACGAAAATGAATTAAAACATGTCAACAAACCGAATAAAATGCAACGCCTAATTTAAAAATGGAATATGTAGCATAAAAAAAAAAGCTAGGTGAGAGCTCTTGTTAACGTCCGTTTTTTTACCGGATACCGGTCCGGTGTAAAACGGATGGTTTTGTTGACGAAACGTTAAAATAACGGATATACTTCCGTTGCCTGTAATATTTTATCGATTATCTGTAATTAAATTTAGTCAGTTCTCAACAAGAAGCGGCTGAGTATAGAGTCTAGACAAATGTTTACTAGAAAGAAAAAGGTTATAATAGCGTACTATTTGTACAAAAAAATGCAGCAGAAAGAAAAAAGAAAGAAAAAAATGTGGGTACATCCTATTTTATTGGAAAGAAAAAGATATGGTAAAAATATATGGACGCGAGCAGGTGATACGTAATTCGCCGTTGGTGTGTGGCGAGCACTAACATCTATCAGATACGGATAAACAGCAGGTGCAAACGGTCGTCTGGTGTTGTTATTCGACAGTATTACGAATTACGACATGACATAGTATTATTTTTCCGCGAAAGTTTATAGTTACTTACCAAAGTTTCCATAGCTTTTTTTTCTGGTTAATGGTCGTCAAAAATAACCAGCGACAACTGCCTGTGACAATGAAATGTCGGTAAAAAAATTGTCGAATAAAAATCAAACAGTAGCAAACAATATTTGATGCTACGTTTCACACAGACGTCAAACGACAGCGACAAACAACAACATATATGTATACTAATCTGACGAAAGCCTCAGCAAACAACTCGGCGCAGTGGATGCTTTGCTCGTAAGTCGATCAATAATGAATTGTGACCATTGTTGCCAATGGCGTACTACACGTCTACACGTTAGGTTGGAACCACCGTCGACGTAAAACAAAGGAGAAAGGCATAAAAAAAGGAATATTATTATTGATGAAAAGCCAATTATTAAGCTATGACTCAATACGTAAGGGAGGCTTTCGAAAACTTGATTTTCAAAATGTTTAAGCCTTTTAACGTTGATAACTAGAACCAATATTACAAGAACGACAAAATCTTGAATCAATAGTATTAGTAATTACTTTAAAATAAGAATTTTTAAATTTTTGAACAAGTGAATTTTTATTGATTTATTGTTAATATTCAAATAATAAGCATTTATTAAATTTCTTAGTAAGAAAAAATCTATATAAATATCAAATACATTATCCTATAGTCTAAATACATATCGAAGAATCATATTAGGGCTATAGCCCAATCAAATTTTGCCTTGAAAAAAATACTTAAGTTTTGAAACTTGGCAAAAAGTTTCGTCTTGGGGCCCTGATAAATTAAAAAAAAAGTGCACCACCCTTCCGAGGTCTGCAAGTGTCCGCCATCTTGGATTTTAGGTGAAATTTTATCTTTAATACTATTAACTTTAGAGTAAAAATACCTTACATAAAAATTAAAGATTGTACAGTTTTTGACAAGATAGCGTTTATACATTTTTAGCGTAAGAATGAACGACAAAGTCTATCCGCTCGTCATAGTCCATAGAAAGTAGCATTGGAGCGCCATAATAACGTATGTATATTGTATACGCATACACGTAGTTAGCAAACGGACCGAACAACGTAAAATAGGTATTTATATGTTTAGTTTCGTGTTATTATACTGTTAATATTGCTGAAATGTACTAGAATTAAATATTGACGACTAACACCACTTTAACTAAAGACTTTGGTTTGAGAGATGAATTGTTAAAAGTGAAATAAGTCTACTTCAACATATAGGTAATGTACCCAAGAGAAACATAAAAATTGTTGACACATAGATAAAATGGTTACAGAGTTTGGCAGTGGAAGGAAAATTATAGGTACCTATTCAATAATATATTTAAAATGCTAAAAATGTTTGTTACTATTTCTGTGACAGTGTGGTGTGACTAATTGTTCTTATGAAAGGGCATTATCAAAATTAAGCTTAATTAAAACAAAATTACGTCCTAGTAAAATTTATCAAGATCGACTATTGATGAACTACTCATTAGTCACTATGTCAATTGAACAGAAATTGGCCTATAATATTAACATTGACGAAGTAATAGAATAATTTAAAATATTAACTTAAGAATGATTCTTTGAAGAAGTGATGAGCTAAGATTTATATATAAATATAGTATAAATAAACTTTGAAGTTTCAATTATTATTCTAAATTCTTAGTTAAATTAATGATACATGAAATTAAAATACTTCCATCGCCAATATTGATTATTGATTGAACAAACTAATAACCAAAATAATAATCAATTATATATTATAATATAACGTTATAAAAATGCTGCCCCCTGCCTGCCAGCTAGGTCTGCGCACGCCTATAGACGTATATTACGTATAGAGTATATTAATAATAATTTAACGAAAATATTATGGTAATATAAGCAAGTAAATGACGTTTGCGATCATAACATATGGTTTACATCATCACGAAGTCGATTAAATCCTCATTAATATTCAAATAATAAATATGTTAAGAGAGATAGGTACCTACTCCAAAAATACGAGTGTGCCGAGCGAACAAAAAAAATAGGCATTTTAATCGCCGAGTGGCGAACACTAACTTGGCACTCGGCAGTTGGCATATGAATTCCTGATACAAAGTGGCTGATCAAAAACAAAGACCAAAGTCAAGGCCAGTCGAGTCCGTTCCGTAAAAAAAAAAACAGAAACCGTACGCTAAGTATTAAGATGTTAGCAGTACCAGGGTCCTAGGAATACGATGGTATCGACGACGGGAAGTATACAGAGCGCCTGCGGGTGATACAATAAAATACCGACGTTATTTTATTCGATACACTTGATATTATACGACAGTAGGCGGACGACGCGTTTTCCTTATAGATTCCTAGTACAAAGTGAACGGAGTTAGGTCTCGCCGAGTTCCGATTAGGTACTACGTTTTTATTTTTTTAGCCATTCACGTGTATATTGTTGTAAGCTTCACGATACCACAGATTATTGATCTATGAACCTCAGTATTTCGAGTTTTGGATATTGTTCATTCCGTCCGACGTTCAGTGACGGCGCTAAGTACGGAAGAAAATGTCTAGCCCAACCCATTGGACTAACATTAGACATACTAATATTCTCATTTTTTATAAGCAGAAAATAATGGTATTATCATAGTATTTTGTAGTTCACCGTTCAGCCTGTATGTAATTTAGATTTATATACCTCTATACCATAATAATATCACATCATATTTAAAAATTATAAAATATTGTTTTTCAAATTACATATTTTTTTATATATATTTCATAATTTTTTGTTAAATCTCATTTTTGTGGCCCTACCGCAGAAAAAAATGCTTGTGCCGCTACTGGCGACGTCCGTAGATTTCTTTATCGTAACCGTAGGTAATTATAATTTTATTACAACATACCTATTATATGCATGTAAGATATTAATGTTAATTATGCTCATAAAATAAAAATTAAAATGACTTGGGGTGGTTATATTCATAGAAGCGTAGAATTTGGTGGGATTACTGGGGGTGACATTCAAAATAAAAAAAATTGCCCACGTTACACGTCATACTCAAAATCAACATAAAAAAATATGCCTAAAAAAAAAAAAAAACATTTCAGCATTAAATAAAAAAAACCTTGCCAATATCTAATATTATTACCATCATATTAGGAACGCATAAATAAGTATAAATAATAATTAATGAATTAAACTTTTAACCTTTTAAACTAAAATTATAGAATAAATTAATAATGAGTAATGCAATTTAACATATCAATAATATTATGAGTATAAAAAAACTTGCACTATAAAATAGAAGTAAGTATTATAATTGTATTATTTTTTTAAACTTCTTAAAAAAACTTCTTTGTAACTTGAATGTTGAAGTAAAAATAATATTCAACTAATAACTACAGCCAGTGGGCGGCCTTATGGCGGCGGGAGAGGTGTTGTCAACAGAATTATCTCTTGTGTTGTATATTTAGGCGGCACCCATTTTACCCAAAAATGACGGTGTTTCTAAATTGCGGACAGAGTGATAAAAACCATGTGAGTTTCAGACGAAATCTAAGAAAATAACATACGAATTGCGGATACAAATATAAGAAACTAATTGCAGACAAATGTCCAATTATTATTTTTGATATAACAATCGTAGGCGCTGGGAAATTACTGTTTGATATTAACGATATTGAGACAGCTGCTAAAAATATGTATGATCAGTTTAACCACAACCTTACTCATGCTTGCTTGATATTTATCGTCTTTCTGATCGTCTATTTTCTGTATAAAAATATATAGTGAAAAACTCAATTTTCTTCTATTTCACGAATCGCAAACGCTTGTGAGTGTTCATTCTAACCTTAATGAAATGTTTTATCGCAGTCACCTTATTATATACCTACTAATTGATTGACGCGGTCCCGCGTAATATCCGTTTGAATTTAAACGGCCTTACGCGGAAAACCGCGGAATGACTTCTCTATCCAACCGCCAGCCGAGTGCCAACGACGGACGACGCCGACGCACGATAATGGCGTCGGAACGTCTTGATCGCCGACACCGCGACCGCCGACCAGTCCTACGACCGACTTCAGTTCTGACCACCGCATCGTATGCGAAGTGTGCTATTTCGACTTCCGTACGGTGAACCTTTTGTATACTAAACATTTTTTAGTTTATTATTTTGTGACTTAAGTTTTCTGTGACGTTTCATCTCAATAAACAGGAAAACACCGTCTAACGCGATCGAACTTGTCTTATTCATTTTATTACCACCCTTCCTGTTAAGGAACACCAGTTCCGCATCAAATTTGGCTCCCCGAACAGGAATCACCGGTAAGTGAAACACTTAGTACCTTACCCCTAACTATCACCATCATTTCCCCATTGTGCAACTTGCAAAACTTTCCCCGGAGACCACACGACAAAAACGTAGTTTACACCAAGTCCGCATCATGATCAAAGCTTTAAATAAAGTACAGAATGGTAGGTATACAAAAATGAATTACACCTACTGCTGTACGAAATTTAAAACGAACAAAAAAAAACTGTTAAAAAGAAGACATTTATCAGCAAACAAATGTTGCAATATTCAAGTAGTGAAATCAGTCGAGATCATTTATACAGACTGTTTCAAAAAAAATTTCGCCTAAGTCCTGAATAAGTGGTGAAAGACTACTCTCTTGATTTTCATTAAAAAAAAATTCTGTACGCAATTAGTATTATGTCAATGAAACTCGTGCCCGCAATTGTTATGTTATAATATTGACCTGAATAATTTATCCGCAACTAGTATGTGTCCAAAAATGACCTTTCACTTTTCATCCAAATATTTTAAAATTACTTTCCCTTTTCGTTCAAAAATATTATAGCCAGTAGTGGATTTAAATATGTTTTAATATACTATACATTTATATAATTTTTACGTTTAAAGCGTTTTTTAATAATTTCAGAGAGTCCTAGTTGCTTTAGACAACCGGATACATTCTTAGTTCAATAGTCCTTTACACATCGATATTTAGAGATTCAAATTTTTTTTTCAATAAATTTGACTAAATAATTCTATTTTATCGGTTATCGTATCCATAATTAAAAACTATAACCATTGTGTTAATTATAGTTATAACCAATTTGTTTTGAACAATATATTGTATTGTTATTTAAATTCAATAATTTGTATTGATAATTAAAATTTGTCAAATAATAAAAATTGATT